TGTTCCCAAATGGACAGGCATTTTGGATTTGCCATGCTAAGATGCCACACCTGATTTATTTCACATATCTGCAGGCCTCCACAGAGCAGGTTTTGGCTTTCCTTCTCAACTCTTTTCCCTTTGCAGAGGTCAGCTGTGAGGTTTGCATCCTCTGCTGCTCCCAGGAACTGTAGTCTCAAAATCTCTCAGATGATTTTGCTCAGATTCAAGGGAAAATTCTCTTAAATCCGCTTTCAGTCCTGCTTTATTAAGGTTTTGGTTATGAATTAAACCCACTGAAGCCCACCATGGATAGAGCAGTGAAAGCAGCACCCAGAGCATGAAATCCAGCTCACTTTATTTATTTATTGGGTCATTAGCATGTTAGATAATTTTGATTGAAAAATGGGGCAGGATCAGTGAATACTGAAGAATCTGATTGTGCACCCACTAAAATGTGTATTTCATCCCTTACTTGTCTATAGGGCTCAGCTGGAATTTTATCTCCTGCCCAATAAAGTCCAAGTGGGGCAGAAATGCTCCCCATGGAGGGGTGGGAACTGCTAATTCCCTGAGTTGAATTCAGTTTAATTCCTGGAGCAGCAGCTGTGTGTGCCACCTTCCAGCTGCACGAGGAGTGAGAGGGAATCACCCTTTCACCTGGAATTCAAACAGCTCCTCACAGCAAACTCTGAAATCAGGCTTGCCAGAATTTTAGAGAAAACAGTAAAATTAAAAATATATCCTTTTTTTTTTTTTCTTTTTTGACTCATGGTGAATCCATTATTTGTCCAGGCCTTTAGGACAGTGAAATGCAACCCTTGGGATTCTGCTCTGGTGAAATCTGGTTCATTAAGTCGCTGTTAACTTTCCTGCCAGTAGAAGCCTGAATGAAATCAGATGTCAGAATACTTGGGGATGATATCTACATTCTAACACACTGTGAAAATATTTACAAGCTTCCAAGATGAGACTTTTCCTGATTAGGGAAATCAAAGAATAGTTTTCCCAGCAGGCCTGCAGTTAGCTCATCCAAATTGCTTCTGTTTTAATTGGCATGCATTTCCTCTAAGCAGCTAGGAGATTAAAAATATTTGACTTGGGCTCTACAGGACTGGAAGCCTCTTCCCCCAGACACAGCAACTCTGGAAAAAAAAAGAAAAAAAAACAAACTAAACAGCCAGCTCAAGTTTATATTGCATTTGTACAACAAAAATCTGTCTTTGACAAGATTTCAGACCATGGGACAGACTGATATTCTGACTTTTAAATGAGGAAAATAAGGATGGTGGTTTTTTGTGGGTTTTTTTTGGTTTTTTTTTTTTTTTTACTCAGGTGTTTTGTGTGTGAAGTCTTTTATTACCCGAGTTGTATCTAAGTGGGCTGGGATTTTATCTCTGCTCCACAGCAATCTGTTGTTTACAAACTGCACTTTGGGACTTCTTTTACTCAGTTTTCTACTTTCAGAAGCATTGGGAAGAATAAGTAAAGCCAAATAACCTTCATTAAAAGTGACTGCTTTATTCTGGGAAAACCAACTACTGTTGTGTGTGGAATTAATTTACTGGAGTTTTTATTTCTCTTTTGTTGAACATGTCTGAGGAGGGACATTTTCCCTAGAAGTTCTTCTCACAGGGAATGATGAGATCAAATCTGGAGGATTTGGAGGAGGTTCCTTGTTCTAGGATGGTGTGGAAAGCAAACCCTGTGCTCTCAGGGCTTGGGGACGGTGCCTCTTTATGTTCCAGGAAAGTTTTGGTTATGAATTAAACCCCACTAAAGCCCACCATGGATAGAGCAGTGAAAGCAGCAGCCAGAGCATGAAATCCAGCTGACTTTATTTATTGGGTCATTGGGATATTAGATAATTTTGATTGAAAAGTGTGCCAGGATCACCTCCTTGAATCAGAATTTCTTGGTAGTTCACTTAGAACATCTTGAAAACATCAATACGTAGAACATCTTGAAAATATCAATATTGTGAGGATTTTTGTAAAATAGTCCCTTCCCTCACCTTGACCCCCCCAAAACCCCAGCAAACACAAAACCTCCCACCCAAACCCAGTGTAATAATGGGATTTCTTGTGGATGAGACTCCTAATTTCCTCATTTGTGGTAACTGGATGTGTTTTGGAGATGCAAAGCCCCGTGATGGGAATATTGCCACATTCCAGCTACAACTTTTCTATTCCTCAGCTTTTGGTGAAGAAATATTCAACATTCACCAATACTCAATATTCACCACTTGGGAGGGGTGAGGTGGTGGTGTGTCAGTCCTGCCAGCCTGGTGAGGAGCCTGGGCTTTGGCTAAGAGAGATTTTGGATGGGATGGAGCCTGAGGATCCTGTTCCAGGGGATTAGGGAGCTGCTGAGCAGGGAATAATGTCAGTCACGCTCAGGGCCTGCTGTGTTTGTCCATCTGCCCCTCAGAACCACGAGGTGGTGTTTCCCTGGTGGCGCAGCATTAGGTGAGTCATGAGCAGCACAGACTGCCAGAGATTTGGTTTTGGAGCTCTGAAGGAAGTGTAAACTTCATATTTGTTGTTTATTGGTTAATATTTAATTGGAGGCGAAATTAAAAATTAAGCAGGCAAATGAGTCATGCTGAAAAGCAGCAGCACTGTCTTGTCAGCGCTGTGGCTGACAAATGACAATGAATTTCTAAGAATGGAAGAAAAGAAATTAATTTATAGCACAGGGAGCCTAAAGAGATGCTTTGATTGAGAGGAGTGGACACATCCCACAGAATGATCACAGAGAAAATGTATTTGATGCTGTGTTTAGTAGCCTTTGCATCAGAAATGAAATTGGTAGATGGTTCTCTTCAGAAAACACTCAAAATTGTCTTTTCTCTGTGGTGTTACGGAACAGTTTAAGAACAATGTTGTTATTTTGGAGCAACGTTTAAAAGGATTTTTTTTTTTTATTAGAGCAATGTTTTTTCCATCTTCTTTTCTCTTAAAATCATGGCTGTTTGAGATGCCCAGCTTTCAAAGCCCTGAACTGCACTTAAGAACAGATTTTATTTATTTATTTTTAACCACTGGAAGTAAAGAGCAGCCTGTTATTTCAGCTATTTGTTATCATCACTGCAGCCTTTCTGACAATCAGATCTCAATCTGCATTCTGCTGTGGCTGGCAGCAGGCAGAGCCGGGGATGCTGCTGGTGGGGAGGAGGAGCCCTGTGCTGCCTCCTGGGATGAAGCCTGTTTCACTGGGCATCTGTGACATTTCTGGCCTGCAATTTTTTCCCCAAATAATGCTGCAGGCTGATGCTATTTCTGTTTGGAATCCTGATCCATCGTGTTTACAAAGAGACAAAGCAGTAGTGTGAGTAAGGCCTTTTCTTCCTGCTGGATATAGGGGAGTACCTGGGGATGGGTTGAGGCTGAGCAGTGCCCAGGATGCAGCAATGGAGAGCAGAGTGTGGTTCACCATCTCCTGCTTGGCAAATAAAAACCCTTTTTAATTGCTACTTCAAATTTCTCTTTGTTGTTTCAGCACAAAAAACATTTTGTGCTGAAATTCTCATCTCGTGAATGTGGAAAGCAATACGTGAAGTTGAGGGTGGCAGAAGTTCTTAGCACTAGAAGATACATCAGTAAATAGGATGGGTGGAAGAAATGTGTAGCAGTTGGCTGGTATTTGAATTTTGGGCTGTGATATAATAGTGAAACTTGAATTTCCTTTTTGGTTTTTTTTGTTTAACTTTTTCCTCCACAGAAATCAAAGGAATGTTGAGGTTTGCAGCTGTAAAGGAGAGGGCTGGTAGAGGTTCAGTTTTGTTAATTGAGCAAGGTAACTCCAAATTAGTGCTCACACAGGCCTGATCTTTGTCACTGCAGAGCAACGGCAACGTCCTTAGAGAGTGGAAATAGCAAACCCTACGTGTTACGTCAGCTGTAGCTGGGTGGGAGATTAAAATTATTGCACAAATATAAACCCAGGACTTGAAAGGCACTGGGCTCCTCTTGATGTGCTTTATCTGGGCATTTATATATAATTTCCACTGGGGAATGCTGTGCCTAGAAAGTTCAATGTGTGACCTTTGCTTGTGACAGGTTGGTCAGTTATTAGGCTGCTGGGGTGCCCTTTGAAAGATCTTTTTTATTATGAAAACGATTCTGAGACCTCTAGACTAGACAGTGCACTCGCACTAACCCGCTTGAGGCAAAAAAGAAACCTTTAATCTCTGTTAAAACTCTGCGTGCCAAATATAATAGCTGGTTTCAGCAGTATTTAAACCAACTTCATTAGAATATGGGAAGGGGAAACAGGTTTTAAAGGCTGGCTTTAGCAAGTAATCAACTGTCTCCCAGATGGGACTCGTTCAACACTGCACATAAAAAAGAGAATAAAACAAAGGGAAAAAGAAGGAAAAAGAGAGAGCCCAGCAGCATCCTCTGTGTGTGTGTGTGTGGTGACTGGGCTCGGGGGAAAGGGCTCCTCATACAGAGCTCTGCCTCTTCCAACCCAGCCATCCCACTGCATCCACGCTGTGCTCGCTTGCACAGAAGGCAAGGCTGTAAGATGTAATGTATTTAAATATATTCTGCATTTCTGGTGGTGGCTCTATAGTCTCCCCCCAAGTTTCACCGCTTTTGTGCTAAAAACCAGTTTTGTTTTAACCCATAATGAAAGCTTGGTAGGGTTTAACCCGTTGTTAAGCTCAGAGCCTTATCAGGGAGCCTTTGTTGTGCTCAGAGGACAGCCCGGGGTGGCTGTATGGAGCGGAGCACGTACTGGGGGTGCATCCTGCACGCCGGGCTAATCGCTCACTAATTAATATTCATGACTCATCTCATTTAGCGGCTGCTCTTTGGACTCGAGCAGCGCTGCTATTGGTGCTTGAGGCGTGGAGAGCTTTATCTAAGGCAGAGCCGGTGTTGTCCTGGGTGGATGCTGCCCACCTGCAGCACCTCCAGGACACCCCACCGTGGTGCTGCGCGGCTCCTCTGGGATGCCACCACCCGTCTGACACCATCCCCCTTGTAATGAGTCCTTTCTGCTTCTTCCCAAAGGTCCAGAGGAAGAAATGACCATGTAGATTCCACAGCTTGGGTGCAGCATAATGGGAAATGGTGAATGGAGTGGAGCTGGTCTGCAGCCTTGAGAGCAGCCGTTCTGTGACCTCCAGCCTGTCAGGGACACCCTCCACGCCAGGGGCATCCTCCACGTCGCTCGCCGGACACACGCGGGATTCTTTTTAATTTCTCCGATTTGGAATTCGAGGTTCCTCTCCTCCAGTTTTTAAAACAGTTTTAAGATTGTATCCAACTACAACGAGTGGAGCAATATAAACCAGCCACGATGGGTGACATGACAAATAGCGATTTTTATTCCAAGAACCAAAGAAATGAGGCCAACCATGCAGGAGAGTTTGGGTGCACACTGCAGGAACTGCGCTCCCTCATGGAACTCCGAGGGACAGAAGCAGTAGTAAAAATTAAAGAGACTTATGGGGAAACAGAGGGGCTCTGCAGACATCTGAAGACATCACCAACAGAAGGTAAGCACTTACCATTTCAGTTGAATTAAAGGAATCTGTATAAATGCTCTCCAGACAGTGAAAAAAGAGGTTTCGATTCCTATCTGAACAGAATTCTCATGATGCTGCCATTATTTCCAACAATAACTAAACAAGAGTCCTCTAAAAAGGAAGGTAAACCAGTCCACCTATAGAGGGTGAAAGGAGTGCTTCTTGTTTTAACAGTTAAATGTATTAACTCTTCCTTAAAATGACACAAAAAATCAGGACATGTTTTAGGCATTGCAAAGAGTCTTGAATCTCTCTGCTCCTGGGGGTAAGAAGGTGCAAAATAGTTGCTTCAAAACAGCTTCTAGGTATTTAGAAATCTTGAGAGTGTGAAATGACTTTTGAGACGCACATTATGTTACTGTGTAGGTCCATATATTTTTTAATATTTATATATAGGTTACTAATCTTCACTTATTATATTATCATAGGTAATTTTGCTGAAATCATCAATCTCTGATTGTGTTGATGTTTTTAGTAGTTGCACTTCTGTTGTGTGTTACATTAAGCTCCATGCTTTCTTGTGTTTAATACTACCAATCATAACTTTCCAGTATTTATTTTCCTAAGTCTTTTTAGAGACTTCTACTTGATCATTTATTAGTCTGGTTTTCAATGCTCAAACCAAATAGCTCCCCATAAAGCATTGACAATAGTGCAATGTTTCCCTCTCCTCATACAATTTTCTTTCTCTTTAAGTACAAGTAAAATTCTGTTTTATTCTAAGAATTCTATTTTTGTCACTGTATTTTCATCTCCAAGGAGTATTAACACTTTTGGAAATTACACAGTCTTTCAGTCTATAATGTTTCTGCAGTCTTGTAAAGTAGCCAAGATGTTCATTTCAAGTTCTTTTCTTTTTCACAAAGATAGAAGTCTTGGCTCTGTTCCATTCTCTTCTTTCTAAAATTAATAATTTAGTTACCTCCAGTGTTTAAATGCCTCAAACTCTGGGATTATTGGTGTGATCATAAACATGTCAATTGTAGTGTGATACCATAAATTACGCCAGCTGAGGGGTCCCAAAGGAGCAGCTATCAATGTCTCACCTCAAGAGTTCCACATTTGCAGAAAGTCAGAGCTGAAGTCTCTGTCTGAGCCGAGCTCGTGGCGGTGACTTCAGTCAAGTTTTGCCAACTCATTCTAGTGGTTACTTGGTCAATGTGAACTTCAAAGGAGATGTTAATTGCATTATGTGTTCAATTTATGACATCAGGGAAACTCAATTCCTCATGTTGGAACAGAGTGTATGGATCCAGCAGCGTGGCACACTGACTCCAGCAGTAATCTATATCTGATACTGCAGATAAGGTAACTTTCCTCCAAGCATTACGTGCACTTCATCACTTGTGCATTAGGGAAAAACCTTTCCAGCTTCAAATGGCAATCAGCATAGCCTTGGAATCATGAAGGCTCTGCTGGGTTTTAATTTTCAAGTAGATCACATAATAGGAATTCCCAGTCACACAAAGCTTACATCTTATTTTAATTGTTTTGTTTGGAAAAATTCTCTGAAATATATCTTGTCAAACTCTGGAAACTTTCACTGGAGAGAAACTATCCATCACAGAGAAACTTAAAAGGCTTATGACAAATATAAGCTTATATTTAGTTCTAAGTCCCAAGCCATTGTTTTTCTTGATTCCAAGCTCAGTGAAGAGGATATTCTTGGAGACATGACTATTCTTAGAGGAAAAAAAAAATTTCTTACATGGAAATGGAATCCTAACATGAAGCAGATATGATTGGAAAATTAATTGTAGACATACTTAGCTTTATCGTATCTGCAGCAAACTGTGGATTCCTCATTGAATACCTTTGTGAGAAACCACAATTTGCTACAGTGCCTGAAAATCACTTTTCCAACCAGGCATTGTTTTTGGTGAAGCACCGTTCCCTGAACAACTTTGTTGTTCATACTTTGGTGTGCTGCACATCTCACAGGCTTTTATTGGAAATACAAAATAAGAATTACTGCAGGGCACTTCTCTGAAAAAACCAAATGGCTGAGCAGGAGTCCTGAGTGACTGTGAAACAGTAAAAGGACCTGACTGTAGAACTTGGTTCTTCTTTGCCTTGTAAGATCTTCCAGAATTTAGCTGGATAAAGTCCTTGTAATACTGTGGGATAAGGGTTGAAACAGATACCAGAGCAGAGGAAAAAAATGTTTCCTGGCAGCAGGGACATGATAATTTGGTAGAATGTCGCCTAAACTGAATTTACTGGTTTATTTAGAAAGCAAGAAGTAGTAATGAGCTCAGAGCTGACTCAATTCATTTCCCATGTTAATATTTGATGTCTCACCTATGGATTGGCAGGATCAATCACACTTGCAAGTGCTTTCTCAGACTGTTTTTTAAAGGCCCTGAACTTCTCAAGTTAAGGCATCATATTTGTAACTCAGATGCCATTGCCTCTGCTGTGAGGCTCATTTCCCAGTGAACCCCTGTCTGAATTCAGCATGGAGCTGGGGAAGTCTGCTAAATGTTGAGTAGAATAATATTTGCATGCTGAATGAATTAATAATATTATTATGGGTTACGAGACTTCAGTCTCTCCTTTAAATTTTCTTTGATTGCTCCTTTAGCTATAGATGCAGTAGAGATCCCAGCTCTCAGTTATGCCTGAGGGATTTCCTGCCCTAAAGTGATTATATTATAATGAAAATCTCCCATTTAAGTGCTCATGAAAAGAACCTCCCAAAAATCTATGGGAATAATTTATATGAAAAAAATACACATGTGTCCACTTGAATTTGCTTTAAAAATATTTATGTTCAGATTAGTTTCACTTTCATTATCCCAGAAATACCACATATAGGCAGTATCTAGCCCTGTCACTTTGCAAAACAATGCTGAATCCCCCCTTGGGCAGAGCTGTGCTGACAGTTGTAGAATTTTCCATGCAATTGGAGTCTCTGAGGCCCACTGGAGCATCAGTGATACCTTATAAAGGACAGCTGGTAAAATGGGATGAGTTAGTTGGATGAATACCAAATGAGACTGGAATCCACTCTCTCCAATACTTAACTATATTTACCCACAATTTTATATAGTACCCACCAATTTACAACAAAATTTTCATCTACTTTCTCTTATAAAAATGTTTACTTCTTATAGGAGTATGTCAGTGAATTAAATTCCCTGATTTCTTGCTAAAAATACTTGGATGCTGCCATTTCCAGTGCATGTAAAAAGTGAAGAATTCACTGTGTGTAGGACGATGAATACCCTGAGTGGGAAGGGATCCACAAGGATCATTGATCCAACCCCTGGCCCTGCACAGACACCCCAACAATCCCACCCTGTGCATCCTTGAGAGCATTGTCCAAATGCTCCTGGAGCTCTGCTAGCCTTGGGGCTGTGCCCCAGCACAGTAGAGTGAAGCTTTTTAAATTTTCAAATTAAGGAAGAACCTTTTCATGGTGGTATCTGTGCAACCACCCCCCAGACAGGCACTCCAAGAGGTGTTACATGTTAGTGATGACGTTACAGCAGCACAGAAGTCGTCTTTCTGTTGGTACTTTGTTCTAGAAATGGTCTCAGGATACCATGAAAAGGTTTTACAGAAAGACACAATATCAATTAACAGTTAACTGATAATATTTCTACTGTAGGAGTTGACTTTTTAATCATCACAACTGCCCTTAGTTGTGCTACCAGAGAAAGTTCTCTCTTTTCAAATGGGTGTGGGGATACAGACTGAGAATCAACTGGGGAGGTGTGTTTATTTTTCATTATTGCAATCTAAAAAGCCTTTCACAATTTTAACGATGAGGTAGAAGATGAAGAAAGATTGAATGCAACAAAATTAACCAGCTGCTTTTAATAACTCATTAGTTTTGGTTCCTCACACTTGCTTCTATGAAAATTCACCTTTAATAACTTAATAGTCTGTTTGGGAGCTGCTCTTGCTGGCTCACACTGAATTGCAGTCAGGTGCACCACTGTGTTCAATCAGCTACAGACATGCAAAGAATTTGGAAGGAAGATTGGAAAGGAATGAAAAATACTTGATTCAGACAAATAGAAGTTTAAAATAGAAATATAGAATAATTATTCTATGATTGTTAGAGACTGAGCTTTATTTTAACACACTGTCAAAACAGACCATGAATGTAAAGAAATTGGTGATAGCATAATTTTCATTGCTAAAAGTATACACTTGGTCATGTATAAACCATTAAATATTATCCATAAATTCAAGATCTTCTTACATTATTTTACATTTAAGGTGAGGATGGATAATATTTGATTGATTTTATAATCTCTTTAAAAGGAACATTGCCAGCTGTCTGAAAGTGGATTTGAGGAATTTTTATGTGATGTTGAGCTGAAATACTTTGGAAACCTTCAAAGCAGCACCTTAAGAGCCCTGTAGGAGCAGACCTGCTCATCCTCTCTCCGGATCACCACACTGCCTAATTCCTCATCCTTATTTGTGTTATCAAAACATCTCCTGTAGCTCAGGCTCATTTGCCAACCCCCCAGGCAGCAGCCAAGCTCCAAGTCCCCATCCAGCCCTTATCTGTACATGGTCTCCCCACATGGAAGGTTTGGTTTGAACAATGAAATCAGCCCTGGCCATAAAAAATCCCCTCAGCACTGGCAGGGCTGAGGCCTTGCCAGGCCTTTTCCTACCTCCCATGGAAAAACCCCGTGGAGGAACTTTAAACTCATATTTCACCTGGCTGTTCGTGCAGTGCCAGATGTGGTTGAGCTGCTGAGAGCTTGGATAACTTAGCATTTTTCTGTGGTTCCATCAGTGGACACTGGCTGTCTCCAAGTGCCCCAACAGGCTCTGAGGGACCTGTGTTTGGCCAAGGGGCTTGCTCTGTCCATGAGGGGCCTGTTCTGTCTATGAGGGGTTGCCTTTGTCCATGAGGGACTGGCATGGAAGGAAGGGGGTCCTGGGTGCTCCTTCATTTGGAAGTTGCAGAACCCCTCATGTGTCTCCTTCACTTGAAAGTTGCA